TTGGCCCTTGTGCACCACCTACCTTAATCATATTTGTATCATCATAGACAGCCTGTAACTTGGTAGCTACAAAGATGTCCCATGACTTGGTACAGGTGTTTTGTAACAGCCAGCTCACAGCATTAATGTTGTTAACAAAATATTTCTGAGTTGAATATATTCACTAATGAGAGAAATTTTTTGGTTTACAGTGGAGAAGGGGCAGTCCACTGCTTGAGAAGTTTGGCACAAGCCAGGTTACTGTTTTTGTTAGCATTTCTATTTTTTATTGGTCAAATGAATGATTAATGTAAAACAACTTGCAGAGGCAACTAAATCATTCCACAAGTAAATGAAAATCTTATTATCATCAGATATCAGCATAGAATTGTAAGAATATGAGAGGTAGTGCCTAGTGGACTGGTCAACTTCAGATCTGTCATGGGTCCAGTAAGGTTAAGCAAACCTTCCTGCAGGTGAAACGCTTCCTCGGAGAAAAGATAATGTATTGCCCAGTCCAGCACAGCTGTGTAATGCAGCACAAACACAAAAGGATGTGTTTATCCACATATCTTTGTTTGACAATGCTTGTCCCAAGAAAGAGGTCAGCTAAGGCTTGGTTGCCCTTTCCTCTGCCAGGCATTCCATTGTGATGCCGTCCCTAAAACAACAGACTCTTGCACATTTAGACCTATACAAAAGGATATGAAGTCCAGGTCAGCTCACAGACCAAATCCTCTCATCCAATCACAACATCCCACGCAGAGCTCAAGGTTTAGTTTGCATCCATGCTGCTGTTCTTTTGTCAGTGGGAAGGAGCATTTTGATTGTTTTGTGTTTGTCTTGCTCAGGGTGAATGCCAGTGATTGTTCAGTTAGGTGCTACTGCAGACCTTGGTGCTGTGGTTAATCAATGATGGTTTCTCTCTCAGTTGTCCCATAGGACTGTGTTCTTCTCCCATTCTGAAGAAACTTCAGGTGTCTGTCAAGCTCCTTCAGACAGGAGCTCTTAGCCCACCTATCTTTCTGGTAGCCCTGTGCCGTCCTGAAGTGTTGGGCATCTTTGCTTGCAGTGCTGCCTTGGTCAATCACAGGCTGTGACACGGCTGTGCATACCTCAGTGCTGGCAGAGTGAATTTCTCCAGTGAAGGCATCTTCAGAAGGGTCCTGTGATGGGTTTGGTCACAAGTTGCCCACCCTTACTGCATCTGCTTAGCAGTGCACACAACCAGGGTCTGCAGCTGTACAGGTTCTGGACCAGCACACAGAGCTGTCCCTTTATCAGTCACCACAGCACATATGAAGTCCCTTATTCATCCCTCAAGTCCATGGAATCAGCCAGCAGCCAGGGTGACGCTGGGTATGAACTTACTCAGTGGCTCCTAAGGAGGCAGCAGGGTAACAAGGGCCTTGCAGCCAGCACACACACAGGGCAGGAAAGATGGCAGCTGGCATTGGCACGACATTTGGCTGTGCCACCTGGGACCTTAGCTACTAGCATCCCTCCCCAGAGAGAAACCTGTTTTTGGCAGCCTGTGGCTAGCACTGCCCATGTCACCATGCCTGCTACGTTACCTCCCATCACTCAGAGTCTGCCCAGTATGTCCTTTATCTCGGCACATATTCCCGGGAAAAATAGCATTTTCTTTTGCACAAAATAGGATAAACAAATCTCTTGGTTTGTTTCAACACAGACATCCTTCCACAAAGCCTTCCTCTCCTATGAACAGCAGCCTACTGAGATTCTTGGCAATACTCCTGACTTGCCTCCTGCAGGAAAAGACTCTGCAGAAAAGGTGAAATGTTGCCAGACAAGGGTCCGTGCCATCGTGTTGGCTTTGCAAAAAAGAACTGGGATGCCTGGCAGACACCAAGCTGACCGTGAGTCAGCAATGTGTCCTTGTGGCAAGTAAACTCAACAGCACAAGGGGATGCCTTAGAGAAAGCACTGCCAGCAGGTAAAGGGAGGCTTTCCTGCCCCCCCACTCAGCACTGGTGGGACCACAGATGGAATGCTCTGTCTGGCTCTGGGATTTCCATTCCAAACGAGATGGGAGCAGGAGCAGAGAAGATGATTAAGTGCTTAAAATATCTGCAAGAGGCTTGGAGAGATGGGACTTGTTACCCTGGAGAGGAGAAAGTGCAGAGGGATCTTATTTGTGTGCATAACCTTCTTGATGGGAGAGTAAAAAGAAGATGCAGCTAGACTTGCTCCTGTGATCAGGCAAGAGAGAAGGGACACAACCTGAAACAGCAGAAATTACATTTAAACATAAGAAAATACATTTTCTTTTGGATAGGGAGGTAAACCCAGGTTGCCCAAAGAGGCTGTGGAGTCTCCATCCTTGGAAATATTCAAAACACAGAAGGACATGATCCCAAGTAACCTGCTGTAGCTGACCGTGACTGAAAGGTTGATCTTAGAATAAAAAATCAGCAGAGGTCACTTTCAGTCTCAGCTGTTCTCTGCTTCCATGTAATATCTAGAGGAAGATCTTAAAGGAGATGGAGAGAGCAGGGTTATTGCTCATTAATGTGCAAAGAAAGTACAGCAATGTGGATGAGGCACTTGGAATGGGAGTGTACAGCATGTTTCACAGACAAGTATTATTTCCATGCTGTACAGAGAGAAATGTTGCCTCATAGTGGCAGGCCCTTGGATGTCTCTTTCTGCAATTTGTACCACTAGATGAAGAAAGTTTCAGATTTTTTCTTCTTACCTACTAAGCCTTATTTCTGGTACTGCACAGCAGTCTGTATGAGAAAAAGGGACTCAGTTCTTCAGAAAACCCATTTGGAAGGTTGTGACAAAAATGCCAGTCACAACAAAGACGTTTATTTATTTTTGACTTTTTTCATTAAATACTTTTGGGGCATTTTAATATTGTAAAAAGCAAATATTAAAGCAAGTTACAGGTTTAGTACAGTATTTCTGAATTTGCAATTTTTACTGACTCTTGTTTTTTCTTTTTGGAAAGGGGAAGCTTTGTACTTGCCTCTGAGTCATGGCCCCTTTGCTTTTCTCCCATTCCTTAATTTTATCTATTATTGCTGTTCAGGAAACAACATTGGTCATTGAGGCATATCTTTGTACTTTGAGCACTTTCTGGTTTAATTATCATAGGAAGGAAAGTTTTCAGATGTAACCCTTTTGAGTTCTTCTTATTGTTTAAGTGTACAGGCTTTTAAATTTAACAGACTGGATCAAGTGCTTCTGGCTACAAGAGATGCAGAAAGTGATTAAACTGCTTATGGCAAGCCTTGAGATGTTGAAATTTTGCATCTCTTGGAACAGTTTAGACCACTGCTTTAATTTCTAAATAAAAATAATTAAAATGTACTTGGTGAAATAGCTGTCTTTACCACTGGAAAAAAACAGAGCCTATATCACAAACATCCTGATGACATTCAGGTAATGTGGGTGTCAGACAGGTAGCACCACCTTTTTTCTTCTACAGGTCTGCTTTTATCATGCCACACTATATGTTAATGTGGAAATAGAATCACAGAATGTCCTGAGTTGGAAGGATCTGGATCATGAAATCCAACTTCTGGCCCTGCATAAAACAGCCCCAAGAATGACAGCATGTACCCAAAATCGTTGTCCAAACACTTCTTGAATTTTATCAGGATGGTGCTATGACCACTTCTTTGGGGAGCCTTTCCAGTGCCCAAACACTCTGGGTGAAAAGTCTTTTCCTAGTATCTAAGCTAAGCCTACCCTGACACAGATTTCTGATATTCCCTCAGGGCCTGTTATAGTCACCAGAGAGGAGACGAGTTCCTGGTCCTCTGCTTTCCCACCTGAGAAAGCTGCAGAATGCAATGAGATGTCTCCCTCAATCTCTTCTTTTCCAGGCGGAATAAATCAAGATCTCAGCTGCTCCTTCTATTGCTTCCCCTCAAGGCCCTTTACCATCCTCATGGCCCTCCTTTGGATAATCCCCAATAGTTTATTGTCTTTTTTATACTGTGGTTCCCAAAACTGCCCCCAGCACTGGAGGTGAGGCCACCCCAGCTCAAAGCAGAGCAGGGCAATCCGCTCCCTTGCCCGCTGGCCATGCTGTGCCTGATGCCCCCAGGACAGGATTGGCCCTCCTGCCTGCCAGGGCACTGCTGGCTCATGTTCAGCTTGTCACTGAGCAGGACCCCCAGGGATCCCATCAACCAGGACCCCACGGGTCCCTTTCCATGGGGCTTCTCTCCAGAAACTTATTGCCCAGTCTATATGTACATTCAGGGTTTCCCTGTCCCTTATTATTGGAATAGCTGATATTAGTGACAGAGTACCTCCTCTCAAAACTCTCAGTGGGGAAATGCTTTGCCTAAGAGTTGTCCATCTACTTATTCTTTCTTATGCCCTTTGAGTTACATGATTTTTCGGATGATTTCATCATCTCAAATGGCAGAGTTGCTGGAACAGTTTTTCCTTGAAATATTTTTCCAACTAATAGTGCATCTTTAATACCCATTGGAACTGTATCAAAGAATAAATAAGAATAAGTTAATATTTCACTAGGCTATTTCTTGGTAACCAGTATTACATGGACGAATCTAACTATAGAAGTGTGCATCCATTTATTTCAAAAATGGGTAGGAAACTTCATATCTACATAACTTTATTAATTCTAAAAACTGGATAATTTTATACTAAATCCCATTTTGCTCACAACAGTTACCAATGTAATAATATTTTAAGGGTTAGATTTTAAGGGTTAGTCACCCATAAAATTAAGAAAATTCAGATAATTTCATGACCAGGATTTGTGACTTTCTTTTATTGTGTTAAGAAAGAAAAAAATCAATTATGTGCATCAAAATCAGTAATATATGATTAGAATGAAAACAGGTCATAATATTGTGCCAATGGAACTGTACTTGGAGGTGCTAGTGGACACATTGGAAAAAAAGACAGAGAAAATTAGGATTCTCATGTATTTCTTGAAAAAAAAAGATGTAGTCTTGAATTACTATAGGAACAAAGAAGCCCAGCTACATTCATAGAATAATAATGCTCTTGAATTTTGAACAACTGAGAACTTTCCAGGAACAAATTGAATTTTACTTGTTAAGCAAGATCAACAGAAACAGGAATTCTTTTGAAAGCTGTGTTTTTTCACAAAACTCCCATGGAGAAATCAGATTCTTTAACGCAACTTTCAGGATTTTTCACAAAAATAAAAATGTTCTCAAATTTGGAGTAACTTCCAATGTTTTAAACAAAAATTCCCATAGCTCTTTTGCATGGCAGTTGAGTCCTGAATCATCCAGATAACCACATTTCAGGCTTTGAAGCTATGCTCTGTGACAAGACATAACTGCACCTAGACTACGTTAGATCTCCTTGAACATTCTGAAGTGGAAGGGAAACTCTCCCTGACTTTGGAAAGCCTCTGGAAGAAATTCAGTATTACATGAGGTACTCATGGTGAGAGAACAGCTCTGGTCATAGTGAATATGCGCACCATTTCCCAACAGATAAGTAAAAAATAAGTAAAATTTACAAATTTACATAGGCACCAATTAATACCTGCATAGCAGAACCTTGTCCACAAGCATCTTCTCCAGACTGGGGGATTTCAAAGCCAGTGTTTCGGGAACTGCATGGGTTTGTTAGCAGGATAGTACCAGGGAATGGGCGTAGCCCATGGCTTTCCACGTAATGGAATACCAAAGACTTGGAGTTCCTTCCTCAAGTGAAAATCATGTGACCCCTTCCTGGCCTGTGAGGGCCTCTATTCTCTGAGGGCTTACTCTTTACTTGGCTCAATCCACACTGAAAACTGTCTGAGAAGGGGAAGGAGCAAACAGACTTGCTGCTGTTTCCTCACCTGCAGGTGTCTCTGTGCTATCGAAGCTTCAGGAAAGGGTACAACCTAGAGTAGCCTTTTCACTTGCAGAAAATATTGGAGATTAGATTATACTACAATACCAGAGTAAAAGGGGTCTGTTCTAAGGGATAGGCAAGCATTATTCCAGCCCTCTTCTCTTTATGGATAACAATATCTACCAAAGAAGAGGATCAGGTTGCTTGGATTGTGTTTGATCAAGAAAAGGAATGGGTGGTCAGCCTTGAACTCTTCAAACTCAGAGGAAGGTTGGACGTCTTCTGTGTCATCTGCTGACCCAGCCTCCTCAGTTCCCTCTTCAGTGACTTCCATGTGTGCTTCGTGGATGGCCTCAGACACCCTCAGGCCCTCTGCTGAAGAGATGCCAGAGAGGTTGGCTGAAGGGCTGAACAGGTCAGTCATACCCAAGGATGTCAGGACAGATGTGAGGTTATATTTCTCCTCAATCTTCATGCGTGGGAGGTACACTTTTACTCTCTTCTTTTCCATCACATTGAAACTGGTCCACTCAGCAAGTTTTTCAAAGCTGATTTTGTTCTCAATCTGCAAAGAGAGGCAGGGAATGAAACGTGGGATGCAAATCCAACTTCTTCCTACCATTCATTTCTGTCAAGGCTATCATTAAAGTAAAACCCCCAACCAGAATGGTTCCTGCAGCTCATCCTATTGGCATCCTTCTGGTATTTTATTAATTGCCTCTCCAGTACTGCCTGTGTCACTCACCTTTTATTCAGATTTTTACCAACTTAACACAACTCCCTTTGTCCAAGTAATCTTGTGTCTTATGAGGCACAACCCAACAGTTTCACAGTCTAGCAAATCAGTCAGCTTGTGAAAGATTGCAAAAACAAGACCATGAAAATTTACCTACAGTTGGTAGCACCTAACAAATGCAAAATCTTCTACATCTGTAATAACTTTATTTTATAATTTAAAATTACTGAAATATGAGTAATTGTTCATATATATAGACTGCATTGATTTTTATCCTTTCTTGGGTACAGACGGGTAATTTTATAACACTGCCTGTATAGCAACATCCTCTTCTGCAGTGCTGCAGCAGCACTACACTGCTTTACCTTCATTTTATACAACTGAGCTCAGAACTCTCCTCAGAGGCTCTGCCTGAGCACCTGGGCACATTTTGTGCTCCCTGCCTGCCCAGCACAGCCGTGGGGTGGGCAGCTGCCATGTCAATGGGCAGCAAAAGGTCTGACAGCAGCCAAGCCCCACTGAAGCCACAAGTCTTCTGCTTGCCCTGCCAGGGCCATACCTGTGCCAGGCCAGAGATGTCATCAGGCAGCAGCACCAACAGGCTCAGCTCTCCGCTGGCATAGGGAAGCTCCAGGACCTTAATTTTATCTTCAGCCACTCTTCCCACTCTGAAGGTGCCGTTCTGATGCATCATTTGCACGGGTCTGCTCTCTTGCTGCAAAAACAAAAATATGTCAGATGATTGTGGGAGCAATCTTTTTGGTCAGACAAATGTGCAAGGCCTTTGAAAGGGTAGGACTCAATTTTCAACCATGCTGCCTTTGGAAAATAGCTGTGTCTCCATTTTTGTCTCATCTGCTGGTTTGCTCTGTCAGACACAGCTATTGTAAATCTGATAGTGAGGCACCCAGGTAAATCACGCAGTCAACGATAACAGAATTGTAAATAGAACAAATACACATCTGGCCAGAAGCTGTGTCTGTGCCCCCCACCTCTGTCACATTGAAGGGCACTTCCTGCGTGTGTTCTTCTTTAAACGCAACCTTCCATTTCCCTTTGAAGTAAATGGCATTCACAAGGACCAGCGCAGTCTGAGGATTAACAGAGCTTGGTTCAAGGAAATCCTGGATCTGTCCTTTAAGAAAGAGGTAGGATACAGAGTGGTAAGTTTCATGGCAGTAGTCTTGCATTTTAGAAGTTAATCAATATACTGGTCTTTCACTTGACTTTTTCTTCTCTAAAAGTCTGCACATTGAATTAAGATTCAGAAGGATGATTTAATAATACACTGAAAGACAGGCACCTGGCCAGACATTTCTGCAAGAGGACTGGTAGGTTCAAGAGTGTTATAGATTCCCAGGAACATTTCCAACCAGCGCTTGGAAAAAATAAATATTTATATAGGAAAGAAGGAAAGGGAGAGGGAAGAACCAACACAGATTTTCTCAATATGTTTGTTTCTCACAATTCACTCCAGGTTTTTCCTTCCACCTCAACACAATAAGTGCACACAAGCTTCTGAATCATTGATTTCCTTCCATCAGTTTAGTATGCATTACTTTCTCCCCTGGAAGCTCATTTCTTACCTATCCAGCACATCCTTGTAAAAATATGCTAATATTCTAGAGATTCTGGGAGTAACCTTGCATGAGTTAATCTCTCCAGATACAAAAATTGCATATAAAATGTGCATATTAAGTGTGCATATCATGGCACCTCTGCCTTTGCCAGATGTATTTAAAACACTGTCACTGCCACAAAGGTGCAATAGAGTCATCCCTTTCCACGGAATATATCCACTAATGGGAACAGGAAGAGGAAATTTCTCCTCTAATGTTTAGTCCTTTCAGAAATTGCTAAAATACAGTTGTATTTTAAAATATGTTAAATGCATTTTAAAATATGTTAAAATACAATTGTATTTTATACAGACAGGAGTATATCTCATAGTCTTGTCGGACTTACCATTTGTCTGATTTTTCACCCAGGAATTAATGCGCTGTCTGGCTTGATTTGATGCTGTTTTGAAATTGACCAATTCTAGACCAGATTTGTACAGTTTCTTCACACATTTTGAGTAGATCTGTAAAGATACCAATTAATTATAGCCAGTGAACTAGTAATTTTTTAGAAACAATATGAAAGTGACACAAAATATGACTAATAAGATTTTTATATTGATGTCATGGTTAAGGTGTTCTCATTGCTTACTTACTGAAATAATTTGCTAAAACTGGACCAGAAAAATTATTTTGTTTCATGACAATTTCAGATCTGACATCTTTAGTATGTGACCAGTTTAGAGCATATATTAAAAATGTTTTAGAATTTCTGGAAGAAAACCTGATCCAAACCCCCTGTTTTCAGATTAATTTTAGACTGCTTTATCATCTTTAAGTCCTCTTCCTTTTATCAAAGCATTTTTCCTTATTTTTAAAGATAAGAAGTTCCTTTGATTTAGAATATTTGTATCTTTCGTTTTGAAAATGTGAAAGAAAGATTTTTGACACTTTCAAAATTTGGTTTTGAGGTGAGTTTTCAAGTGAAGAAATATGCTAAAGTCAAATTATTTTCTGAAAAAAAACTCCAACAACCAGTAAAATGAAATGCTTTGGGGAAGCAAGTAGGGATTGAGGAGTTACATTACTAATAATTTTGTTTATTACTCCATTCATTTTTTAATAGGGTCATATTTAGCCTCAAATTATTTTCTATTCTAGACTGTTGCCAGGGCCATGGCAAAGGGAAAAACCAAGTAAATCCGCACCAGTAGGGACTATTGGATTAACTGGTCACCTACTCTGGCCAGTCCTCCCGGATTAGAGAATTTTACAGGGTTTATCAAGAGATCACTTACCGGTAGGACCTGACTTGTCTTCTCAGCATAGAGTCTGTTGGCAATGCTCAGTGAATAATTGGCTTCTGGTGCAGTGATATCAGAGAGAATTGCTTTAAACAGTATGTGGATATTCACAGACTTGCCACACTGAGTTGTTGATAAGAAGACAGAAAAGTATAGCTGTTAGGTTATTTTATGAGAAAGAGGATTATTTATAAGGTACAAATAACGTGGGAAAACACACAGTGTTTGGGCATTTGCAAATGAACATGTAATAGGGTCTAAGAGTTCCATGGGAGGGATGTTCAGTATAAGTGGCAACTTATGCAACTCATTCTAGAAGTTAATTATTGAAATTGGTGAGTTTTCATAGGTACAAAGCCTCTAAATCCCAGGCACTGCTTGCATTTTCATAGCATTTTTTTGCAGAAGCTGCAGATGGAAGAAGAGAGCTAGATGGCAAGGGAGTCAGGAAGTGTTTTGTAATACAGTGAAAAAATGGCTCACCTGTCTCAAGTTCCAAGAATGGTGACACAGGCTAAAAGAATGTAAGAAAACTGCACAGCGATAGACAGTAGATGGGACTTTATGTTTTGAGAATAATTGTGTTGAACAGCTCCTTTCTAAATGCTTAATGAGTCCCTAAATGCTCTAGCTTTTTTATCTTTGTTTAAAAAAAAAAAGTCTCATCCTTTTTTAAGTCCCACCTTGTGTTTTGCATCCCAAGTAAATGGGGACACACCAGGCTCCATGGCTTTTTTTATCTTTACAGAGGCAGCAGATTAACATGGACAGAAGTATACAGGTGATATCAAGGTACTGGGACCCCTCATGGTTCTCTTGGGGTAGCAGTGGGAATTGGAGGCTGGTAAAGTCCCTGTAGCTTTGTAAGGATGTGGTTACTTTTCATCCTTTGGGGATTCTGGGCTCTTTTCTGCTGTCCCACTTTGGAGTCTCAGCTGCAAGTCTGCCTACTGTACCCCAGCTTCAGGTGCTGAGACCCTTTCAAGGGCTACAGCCCAGCAGCACTTGCAGGTGTGGAGTTCCTGGTGCCCAAAGCACCCTGTCCTGTCCTGTCACTTGCAATATGTGCAGCCTGTGTTCTTTTTCTGGTGGTGTTTTGGATTTTTTGTTCATTTTGGAGTGGTATTTTTTGTTTGTTTGTTGTTTTTGTTGGTTGTTGTTTGTTTGGCATTTGTTTTGTTGCTGTTGTTCTTTGGGCTTTGGTCGTTTGTTGTATTTTTTTTAACTTGCATCTCTTAAATTAAGAGAATTAGCTAAAGTTTGGCAAGGTGTTGAAACTACTGAAAGCACAATCAGAACAGTCTGTTCTCAGGAAAAGGATGTGAAAGAGAAATCAATGTACCTTAGATTTCTGTACCTTGGTTTGGATACTTCCAAGTCCTGCAATTTTGTCAAAGTGAAGAACCTGCAATTGAAAGTAGAAATTAGGTATGTGAAGTCCACAGTGTCAGTCACTGATATTTGTGCTAAAACTGTAGGTTTTCACTAAGCAAGTCTGATTGGACCAAAAATAAACTGAGAAATTTCATGTGAGCTTTAAACCAGGCACCGCACTGAAAATTTGTGATTGTGATCTTCAGCTTAGATCCCATCTTTTCCAGTTAATGGCATTGCCCATAAACCAGCTACAGCCTTACAGCACTGTATTTACAACTATGACTTTTGTTTTCTGAGTGTTTCGTCTTTTGTATATCTCAAGTTGTCCTTTCCACCTGAAAGGAATCAGGTGTCTGAGATAATATAAGCTGAAGCAAGACACCCGCCTTAACCATCCTCCAAAACTGTTCTTTCTTAATGAAAACCAAAGGTGGTTCTTGCACTTCATGGGGAAATGCAAGAAATGGAAATTAGCTCCAGAGTTTGAAAGCCATTTTTTGCTGGGCATGTTTGGAAGATATAAATGGATAATCTGCTGCCTCTGAAAAGGATCAAAGAGAGTTTGTACCCATTTATGTAACTTACCTTCTTCATCTGATACTCAGTGTTGTTTCTTGCTCCCAGATAGACCATGGCCAAGGCTGCAATCATGCTCAAGGGGCAATAAAAGATGTTGTCGTTGGGATGGTGAAGTTTCACCTCTTTGAATACATCAAAACAAAATTCTGCATTTGCTGCACTGATGGAGCCCATTGTGAAATCAGCGTTTCCTAAAGCAAAAAGAAATATGACTTTATTGTCACAATATGTAGTTCTTGTTTTAAAGAGTATTGCCAATAGCCCAGAAACTGCCAGTTCATTGCTGGTTTTGTGATGCTGAACCAGTGAATGATGTGAAGCCTACAAATTCTGTGATCATTAGAAATATTGTAACTCCTAATCCATTTACATATGAACACGTGTTTGTTTCCTTTCAACAAGATCCTATCAGCAAGATAATACCTTCTACTTGCCTTTTAGGAATAGAAAGTTTCATCCACCCTTCAATATGATAAATATAACACTGAATCAGTTTCCCTATGGCCATCCAGAGGGCTCTGAATGGTGTTTGAGGCAATTCAAATGTAATATTTAATTTGTTCTGTGGCTGCTTTCAATCCCTCAGGTGTAGGGAGTAGTCAACTCTCTACACTCTTTGGGTACTTCTCACTGTTGCTTGGTACAGCCAGCCACAAATTTGGAGGTTGCTTTTCTGTAGTTTACAGCAATAATGCAAGGTGTAAGACAGCTGCTTGGATGCTGGTATATAAATTTAGGGTTTTCCTGTGGTCCTGTTTCAGACATTTAATCACTGCTGATGTTTTTTAGCACAATCATGCATATATATATATATGTATCTACACATATCTAAATATATATACATAATATATGGGTTTTGTCAGGGAGTGAGACTGAGAAAAGAGAAATGCCTTTACTCCCAATTATAAGAATTATAAAAGGATAGTTTTTAACGTGACAACAGATTTTAAGTGAAAAAGATCTATTTCTACTCTACTGTGCTGTGGTGCACAAGCCACATATTTTGCCCACTGATAAGTATTTGACAGTGAAACAGTATAAAATATAATGAGAAGGCAAGGTAAAATTACTGTATATGCTGTCTTTTTACATACCTGTCTTATACTTACCTTAAGGTTCTTAAACATAATTTTTTTTTTTTTTCCATCTTAAAGAATACAAATTAGAAATTACATTTTCTTGGAGAAATACTTACCCCACAAACTTCAAAGAGGCATGTAATAATCCAGCTTGCCAGCTGAAGCTAAACAGCTCCCTGAGCTCTTGGTGATATATAGAGCACGATTTTGAGACACTCCCACTGTTGCCTTCAAGGAGTCATCTTCAAACACCGCCTTTTGTCACGATTCATTGCACCTTGAAACTTTGAGCAGGCCTATGTTAAGCTGGTATTCTATCTGCAGCAAGTCAACTTTCTTCATTACGTAAAACCTGATTTAAAAATGAATTATTTAAGCTTTTGCTGTAACCTTCTCCTCAGGGGTGAGGCGCTCTCAGTGCTGAAAGCACTCTAACAGTACTCCCAACAGTCATGAAGGGAAGGGTGGATGCTGGGCTAGCTGCTGAACATCTGGTAGACATGCAACAACTCACTACAACATCTGTGCAGTGACAGAGAGAAGTTCGTCAAGAATGGTGGCCATCTGACCTTACCAAAATAATGTAATTCCAAGTAAAGCCAGCTGCAGGATAGTAATTCTATTGAGAGAGGTTTGAAATTGATCTTTTTTTTTCCATGTTAGAACAAACTCAAAACTTCCTGTGTAGTTTTCAAGACTGAAAGGTTTTTGGTCTTACAAAAACCTTAGTTTTTGTAAGACCAAATATATATATTCCTGGAGTGCAGCCTGGTGTGGTGTATGGCTTGTAGTTGTTAAAAGCACAGCCACATCCATTTCTCTGCCTAGGTGAACCTACAGTATTTTACCTGAGGCCAAACTACGAAGGTCTACAGCATAGGTGTGCAGGAAGAGGGGAGAAATGCTCTGAGGAGAAAGCACATTTTGCTAAAACCTCATTTTGAAGAAAAAATTTAGAGCAACAGTATTGAGATGACTTGAGGGCCTGAAGATGAGCATGGAAGAGGAAAAGATTTGAGGAACGGTCAGGAATTACATATTTTCTGGGCTGTAAGCCTGACCCCAGAGTATTCATGTATTCAGAAATTAATTTAAACCAGCCAGTGGTATTTAAAGAATGACTAAGAGTCAGCTTTTAATTTTCATTCTATACAGGTCATGGCAACAAGGCCCATGGTACTTGCACAGGCCATTCCCATAGATCTTCCATACCTTGTAACTATGGCAGGTGAACAAACTACAGAATCTGTCTGCAGGAACATTCATGGTCTGTTAGACAACCATAATGCACAATATAAAATATAATTCAATTGTAACAAGCTATTACTCTTTATTAAATAATAGACTTGATGAGCAGTAAAGAAACAAATCTGGCATCTGCAAAGGCCATAGGGGTGAATAATAGAAATCCAAATATGTTCGAGTTAAGTCACAGCATACAGCAGTAAGGGCCTCTGTGAAAAGGAAAGGGAGCTGCTTTACCCTTAACAGTGTTCTTTGCCTTGCTGAAATGCAGGGATGTATGTACAGAGCCTGATAATTGAAGTGATTTTTAGTTTCCCCATTTAGAATGGGGACATTATAACAGCAATGAGGATGGGAAAATCTGAAGATAAGGAGCTTTCCTCTGATGCTAGCATGAACAAGGAGACCAAGGAACTGGGAAAGCAGCTCTTTCCATCATTTCTCTGTTCTTATTTTCACATGTAATTTCTTCTGGTTGTTCAGGAACTACTGAACAGTGTTTGAGAGTGGTGTTTGCTTGTGCTTTTGGATGGCCTCTCTGTATGACACATACCATGCACACTTTACTGTGCCTGAGTGTCTTTCTGACTGAGACCTTAAGGAACCAGGACTTCCTACTATAAAACCTACTACCAGCTATATTTTGAGGAAAATAAACATTAGTCTTCTTCATGGGGTGGGGGCAGAGGGTGAGGGACAGAGTGGAGTGTGACTCAAAGCTGACCTCTTTGGCTTTTTCAGTGACAATCCAAAAATCTTCCTTTGCTCTTCTTGCCTATCTATTGCAAAGCTTTTGAAGATATAATAAAAAATTACGTTATACATAGATACTAAAAACTGTTTAAAGGAAAGCACAGTTTCAGAGAAAACTGAGGAGAACTGCAACCATCAGAGAGAATAAAGTTCAGTGGCAATGTGTATATGTAAAGAGCTACTCAGTTAATCAGACTGTGGGAAGACACAGATTTTTCTATTGCAGGAAAAATGTGTGTTACCTTTCCATGGATCCTCATGCAAATGCTATTTGACATCTTTTGTTTTGATTTTTTGCCAGTCTACCCTTTTGTAGGCTGTCATCATGGCGTGGTTCGACACTTAGCATGGAGCATATCCCTGGGGATGAGGCAGTGGAATGCCCTTCGGGACTATGTCTGCTCCAGGCACCATTTGGAGTTTCCAACTTTTCTCTGCTCTGCGAGCTCTATTGCTTGGCATCAAACTTTTACAGACTACAGTTTCCCACAGGAGAAGCATTTGCTGCCAGGGTGGAGGGTTTACCTTCTATTTTCAAGTAAACATCCATGATTTTGTGGAAGCACTGCCCTCCACAGCAGGAGCTGCTGCCACTACACTAGCAGCAGGAGGCTACTTTCCAGCTTCTGGTGTTTTTCACCACATTTTTTTTCGTGTCTTGTAGCTTAAAATGGCAGTAAGGAAAAAAAGATTTTATAAGGAGAAGGGGTCTTTTAATTGTAATTTATACTGTATTTTGTTGCAGGTTCTGAATTATCTCGATATCCCTGAATTAAGTTTTTGGGGTTTTTTTAAATTACAATATGAAGTTACTTCTGCTGCAGTAAACTAAATGAAATCCCTGTTTCAGCCACACCTTCTCCTTTACTCACACACAAAATTTCTGTTGTAAGACTTGTGCTTTTTGGGATAATATGTTAAAGCACTTGCCTTTATCACATTGATTATTTTTCTTTTACATTTTATCTGAAAATATATAGGCCTGATTGTGCAAGCTAATAAATTCTAATACTGTTCATTTCACTTTTTTTCGTCTAACCTAAGTAATTTTAATTGGAAACAAACCAGATATCACAGAATCCCAAAAGCAGTTGTTGAAAAACGTGTATAGCTGTTTTTTGAATACTTTATTTATCAAAGAGCTAACAGCATGTGTTTTGTGTTCTCTTACCAGCTAATTGGTATGAAAATTGTGTCTCTACAGGTAATCTTACTATTTCAGGCTGTATTTTATACTGCAATTGCAGCCATATGAAGCATCTCCAGACTATAATGGGTCTGCTTTATTCAGCAGTTCAATTTGTGTTGAGTACTGTAATTTACTGTAATTTTTCCTGCATATCTCAGCATTTGGAAGAGCCCTTTAAATCATCAGTTCTACAATGGTACTAGTATGCTCGCAGTGCTTATGTTCTTCCCATCAGTGAGTAACAGGGAAAGGAGAAGTGAGTCATCAAAGGCTGGAATATTTTTCCCATAAAAGCAAGTATTCTTCATGTGTCTGTGGATTTTGGACGTTACCTTCTGCCAGACTGGGCAGGCTGCTCCCTTCTTGTGGCTATTCCTTCCCACCACCTACTCCACAACATCCAGGAGGTGGTTTAGGGAACTAGATCATAAGCAAGAAAATTAGCTGTACCAGAAATTTTCCTCTTAATTTGCTTCCCAGAGAGAAGCAAATGAGAACTGCTCATCCCCTAAGTCAGGCACTAATAGTGGTCTTGTAAAAGAGGGAGAAGGTTCAGAGTTTATGTACCCTAATGTTGAATTATCCAGGGCCTAATCTCAGCATGGGGAATATTTAAAAGTGGGAGGTAGACTTCAGTGTCATGTACATTTTTGGAAAAGAATACCATTATTTTTACTTACTGTATTAGACTATTCCTCTGTTCACTTAATTCTACTACATTTACTATTCTACTACATTTACTTTACTATGCAGACTACTACATTTATTATTTAGTTTGCAATGGGTTTATCATGATAAATAGTAGTAATAATAATAAATAATAAACACAGGCTACCCATTTAAAAAACATCACTTATAGATTTTTTTTTATTATGTTAATGATTAAAAAATAGCTGGAACAAGAAACTCATGCTATCTGAGGCCCAAACAGAGCTGGCTCTTAGACGTGAGAATGGCTGATCACTACTCAAAGTTTAATGTGGGAATTATGTGTCTCATTCCCAGCCATCACAGAGCAGGCCTTGTCAGGAAATTGTCCCATTATTCTGAAACCCTGGTTTTATTAGTTTTATTATCTGGGAATTTATGAGGTTTATGAGGAAGTTGGAGAACTTGGCCACAGAGACAGGGTTTTTCACAAAAAAAAAAAAAAAAAAAAAGAAGCAGTGGGTCTGCCCTTCTTGAGAGCAAACATCAAAGAGACAGGGTTTTTCAAAAAAAAAAAAAAAAAAAAAAAGCAGTGGGTCTGCCCTTCTTGAGAGAAAACAAAATTATGCCAGAAAATCTTCTGTCTTCTTTGCTCTCTGAGAATAAACCCTGAGAGCTCCACTTTGAAACACTTCCCCCCATCAGTATTTAATAGGAGACTCCAGGGGAATATTGTGATGCTCCCCTATAAAGTGGTATTTTCCTTGAGACCTTAGGTAGGTAAGGCTAAAAGAGACCAAGTAGCTGAGGTTATGCTTTTAATGCAGATCCCTATCCTCCTGTCTACTTCATGTGAGAGAAGGTATCACTTATCTTCAGGGCACTAAACTCATGGGTTTATTGGATCCCTACTGCATTAGGAAAGGCCAAAGTAAAAATTTCTTTGCAGATATCTCTAGAGGATTACAGCGTTTTGGCAAATACCTCATAGAGTATTTTAAGGTAGATGTCATTTTCATGAGAGCTTCTAAAAGTAAAATATGCCTATGATTCATGGGGTTTAGGGTTTTTTCTTTAATTTGGGTCTTCTCAGATAGTCTTTTTATTTACAGCAAACCAGACTTTAGGACAAAGTCTAGAGAATTGTCTTTTGTTTTGTCTTTTATCCTTATTGCTTGTCAATGGGATGTAAATGGGGAGAAAGATCTAATTTCCAATATAACCTCCGCTTAAGGAGAGGAATATCTTCCAAAGAAGAGAATGGTGTTGGTTTGGTTGTGTCTGATGAAGAAGAGGAATGGGCGGTCAGCTCTGAACTCACAAGTTACTGGGCAACACAGAGGCATTGCAAGAAGCCCCATGGAACAACCCGCTTCGGTGCCCTCTTCATTGACTTCTACAATTGTCTTCTGGATGGCCTTGGACACAACCAAGCCACCTTTCATAGAGATTCCTGACAAATCAGCTTTTCCCCAGTCAAAAACATTCATTACTCC